GTATTTACAACACTGTTCCAGAACAGTTCAACCCAAATATTCAGATGTGTGCAGCACATTTTATAGAGGACTGTTTTCTGATCCTGGGAGAGTAGACTACAATGCCGGCTGTTCTGACTCATATGGAGCTAATATTATGACAAAACAATTTGAATTTGAATATTATGTGTGCTGTTAGGATTGCCGCAGGTCTTCTTCACTATACAATTGTGAATTGAATATTGTGTTTTATGTTAAAATTATGAATGTTCAATTCAGAAATTTTGAGGTCATCCATTTATAAAGGACTTTTGTTCTTTCATTGCACACAAGTGTGGTAATGAAGTTTGTGTATTATATTGTAAGCACGCAACCTCTGGAATTCAATGCGTCTATGGAGGAACCATCTACATCTGGATTTTCCGTGCCTGTGACACATACCGGTGATCATTCAAATGCAGCTGAAGCCGCAAGCATGAGTTATGGTATGCATTTCTTTTTTTCTTTTTTTTGGAACTGATAAGCATAATACATTTCTGAGATGTAAAACTGAAATAGAATACACAATTAGCTTTAGCTGAACTGTTGACATGTTGCTTTTGTGTTTTTTTTGCAGATTGGAAAACTGAACCAGATAAAAATAAAGCAGCATCCTTATACACAAAGGAAATAATTTGCCAACATGAGATGAGAAAGCCCCTCTTGATGACCATGGATTTGAGGATGGACAAGGAAGATCAAGACAGAGAACTTGTTGCATTCTACAAACAAAACGGCATAGAATGGGCAAGCCCTGTGAAGTGCAGACTCCAAGGTGGTATTAAACAAGTAAATACATTTATTTAGTGGCATTCCTAGTTAGGTTTTAATGGCCATGTCTCTCTCTCTCTCTTTTTTTTTTTTGGACTGTTGCTGTAAATTGCTGTTACATTCAGGGGATGCTGCCATTGGTGAGGGAGTAACCAGACATTTCTTGTCTACTGTTATACAGAGGCTTCAGCATGGATTTAATTTTAACATGGGTATGTCAGCTATTTTTTTATGGAACATTGACTATAGTATTTTGTTTAATCTTTGAATCCAAAATATAACTTTTAGCCCATTATTTTAAAACAGGAAATACTGCAAGGACCTGTCTCTTTGACGGTGAACCAGGTCATCTTGTTCCATCATCATCACAATTTCTCGTAGAGAGTGATCTGTTCCTTGTTGCAGGACGAATGATTGGACATTCTTTCCTACATGGTGGACCTCGGTTGGCTGGAGTCAGCCAAGCAATAGTCCATGTACTACTAGGAGGTTCACCTGAGACCGCTACAGTGCAAATAGAAGACTGTCCTGACCATGATATTCGTGAAACCAATGTAAATGTTTTTTTTTTTTGCTTTATCTAGCATCCAGCTCTGACCTTAAGGACTTGGTGAAGCTTTTTGTCTTATTTTAATATTTTATTTTAAGCTTTATTTCAATTAATGAAACATTTTAAAATAGTTTTAGTTAACAATAACACCACTGTTACCAACACTATGATACAATATTTAATAATGTGATTTCTGTTCTATGATTTTCTTCTGTCAGACAACTGAACTCGGATCACTTGGGTGTTTCGGAGAGGAAGCACTACTCCGTAGATGAAAACACAGAACGTAGGAATCACTATCTGGATCTGGCTGGAATTGAGAACTATACTTCTCAATTTGAAGTTGATTGCTTAATATTTATTCTCTGCTTTTCAGCAAGATATTTTTCATAAGGCCAGTAAAAATTGCTGAGCTCAGTTTTATGAAAGCCAGTTTTATTCCGTTTTACTCTATTCTAATTCTAGAAGACTAGATGTTTAGAGCTTCCTTAAATATAATTTATGTGACTATCATAGCTCCAGAAACATGTGCTGAGGAGCAGCCTCAGGACGGCTCTTCCTGTAACCATCATCGTCGCTCTCAACCTGAGACCTGCAGCCCTGTGGAGTCATCTGGAAAATCCATTCCTTTCCTCAGGTCACTCCGCAACCGCAGCAAGTCTGTCGGTTATAGTGGAGCCTCAACCAAACCCAGCAAGCTCCATGGGCATCACCCAATGACCTGGTGCCATCCATCCCAACAGCAGCAGCAGCAACCTCTGCTGTACAGCTCCAGCAAACGCACCCATGCCCGAGCAAGAGCCCGTGAGACTGCATCAACTTCCAGAAGTAACCATGACAGAGAATTACAGCCCGGGCCAGCTGTTCCTCCTGGGGGTTTTATGCCTGTTCCTCAAAGACATGAACACCATCATCATCATGAGCACCACCATCACCACCATCACCATTACCACCCTGCGTAAGCGTTCTGAAAAACTCCTGAATAACTGACCGAGTAGCAAACTCTCATAAGCAGTGTTATTATTATTTTTTTGTAAAAACAAACATGCAGGTGGTTCATCTGCCAAACACACAAAGCTGGATTATTTCAGCAATAAAAGGGGCTGAACCACTTTTCAATGATATGAGAACTGCACCTGCACAAAAACGTAATCTCAAGTCAGTAGAATGAGTCTGCATTCATTATGTTGGTATGCAGCTCCTCCATGTGGTTATAAATGGAATAGTCCAAACTGGTTTCATCCCTAGATTATAGTGCATTTAAATGGAGGACTTTCCTTTTTGGTTTGGAAAACGTATAATGTTAGTATATGGTTAATTCTAAAAATAATGATTGTAATATTTGCGTTTGTGTGTGTAACACACTTTTTTCCTCAGGAATGTGCTTGCTAGACTATGTAGATATGACCACTCCTATTGTATGTTATATGTATATCCCATTAATGTAGTTTTAAGTCAGCTTGCTTATTATATTCATAGGCTGTAATCAGTGTTTTTTTCTAAACCAAAGGTAGTCTTTTCAATCATATTGCATGTTTATGTTCTGAATAGAGCTGCTAATATTATATTAGAAAATGCCATGCTTTATTGCTGACATCATAGTTAAAACAGCAAAACACAATGTACTAAGCTAAATAAAGATTTAGCTTTAATTTTTTTCCCTCACATTTACTATAAGTAGGTTAATTTTCATGGGTGAAAACCAGTCAATAAGAATCCATGTGATTGGGAGTTTTTAAGGTGCATTCACATTATCGGAAATTCAGCTAAATTTTGCAGACAAAAATAGGATCTGTTTTCCATTGTCAATAGTGTAGCAATGCATCTAGCACTGCTCACACAGTAACTTTATAACCAAGAAGCTTTCTCTGGGTCAGTGTGGCAAATTTTCGTGACCAGCTATATCTGTGAGAACGTATCCGTCCTTATACCAAACTCATGATTGTGAGGATTCTTATGGAAATGACTGGATTTTGCTCACAAAGCTTAGCAAAGCAACAGTAAACGTCACGGGACCTTTAAAGGGAAGGAAGATAGGAAGACAATTTTTTCACTTGCAAAACTTCTGCATTCTCTCACAAAAATATTGTGTTCCCCTGAAAAACAAAACAAAACCTTTGCTTCCCCTTGAGAAAAATTGTGTTTACGTACAAAATATTTGCATTCTTTTACAAAACTATTGTAATCCCTGATAAACATTGCATTCGCTCGTAAAAATATTTTCTTCCCTCCCACATATTATTGTGAAAGTTCTGACAGCAAAAATGCTGATGAACACTATTTTGTGAGCAAGCGTACTAAAAATATAAATTTTCCTCCCATTAATTTTTTTTAACATCACCATGTTCCTTGAGGGGCTCCGTAAGAAGTTCCCCACATAGACTTTGCTCATGTTTAAGTTGGCCATACAAATTTAGCATGTTGACAAAGAAAATTGTTTGGGTTTAAGGTGCCTAATGTGTGAGTGGTGCTTCATGCATTGCTAAACTTTTAACAAAAGACATTTTGCAGCACCTTAAGAATATACTTTTTTCTTTTTCCTTTAACCTTTTTTTTTCAGGAATTTTTGAAAATATATCCTAAAAATATATTTATAGCACAATTACGTTAGATTTAACAATTCTCAATGGTTAACCCAGAAAATACCAAATTTTTCCACATACCACAATATGTAAATACCACAGAATGTAACCATTGATGGTCACACATAAGAGACTTATTTTTTCTTTCCAGCCATTTAAAAATCTAAATGCTGTTAGTCGTGAGAGTACGAGACAGCTGCTTCTATAAATAACGAACCCCCTCTTGACTATCCCCCCCTCATGCTCTCACTCAGCACTCTTCTGTTCTTGGCTTGACGCACATGTATATGTTGGTTGAAAGAGGGCAGAAGAAACACTCCACGTCTCCTAAAGGCTGACAGCTCCAAGAAGATTCCCTGATCTTGAGAGCTGACAAACACAGCCATGAAGAGCTTGAAGTTCCTAGCAGCCGAGGGCTTTGTTCAAACCGGCCCAAATGCATGTAAGAACCTCCACTGCTTGTCATACAATCTCTACCCAATCCTCTTCAAAGCCAGCTATCTGTGTGAAGAGGCCTCAATGCTCCACGACTTGGTCCAGACGTGGCCTCTGAAAGAGCTCAACTTGTGCAAACTATTGGGCAGGACAGTGGACTGTCCAGACGATCTCACATCCCGCACCTGCAGGCTCTGTCTGGAGGCCATTCTCACAGGTCTGAGGGACTATGTGCTTCAAGCTCCAAGCACGTATACAAAAATGCTACGTGTGGTGGATCTAATTGGTCTGCAAGACATAGAACACCAGGTCTGTCCCTGCAGACGGGCTCTTGGCCGTTGGGCACGAACTGAACTACTTACCCGCATGTGCTACGAGACTATGGTGTCAATGCAGGCCGGCCAAGCAGCACCATCAGCGATTGATGTGGAGGTAGATGTCCGCTTGGATGCTTTTGTTACTGGAAGGAACTACGAGGTGGTGGCTCAGGCTCTGTTGCTGCGCAGACATTGCCCGTTAAAGCTGCACTTCGTAGGCCTGCGTGTGGACTCGCTGAGCCTCAGGAACCTCTTTTACCTCCTGAAGCTGGTGGAATCACATGGCCTGCAGAAGCTGGAAGTGGTGCACAATGTACATCTGGAGGCTCCACACATTGAGGTACTGCTCTCCCAGCTGAAGTTCCCTCAGCTGCGCTCGCTCACGTTTCCTGCTCAGGCTTTGAATGTACACAGATTGGCTCTGGAAGACGAAGGCCTCATGGGAGTTCTGGGTGAGCTGATGAGCAAACTGACTGAACTGAGAGAGCTCTATCTGGGGTTCTCCACTCTTACAGGGCATCTGAGGAAACTGCTGAGGTAAGGAATATAAAACCAAAATGTGACCACAGCTGCCATTTAAGCTCATACACATAGGTCATATATACACTAGTTTGGGGTCAGTAAATTATTATTTTTTTAAGTCTTATGTTCACCAAGGCTGCAATTATCTGATAAAAATATTGTATTTTTTTGTTTGTTGTGAAATTCAAATTATTTAATTCAAAATAACTATTTTCTATTTGAATATATTTAAAAATGTAATTTATTGCTGTGCTGGCAAAGCAGAATTTTCAGCAGCCATTACTCCAGTCTCCAGTGTCACATGATCCTTCCTTTTATTAGAAAATCATTCTAATATGCTGATTTGGTGCTCAAGAAACATTTCTTATTATTATCAATGTTGAAAACAGTGCTGCTTAATATTTTTGTGTAAACCATGATACACTTTTTTTTTTACTGACAGCCTTTTGGATGGTAGTGTATAAGGTATCTTTCACTTAGATATAAGATCTGACATTCTTATTTGACTGTTTGCAGTCTAATCAACTGTTTATCAAGCCATGTCTTGCATGTTGTTGTTGTTGTTGCATATTTGTTGTGTAACTGCTAGTCTGCAGACAGCTGTCCCATTGCAAACTCAAAGTAGGCCAGGACATGACTCTGGCAACACAATATGTTCTATATTTACTGTAAATAGCAGCACACATGTCTTATAATAGTCAAAACATCACGTGTCATAGGTGCTGATGCATAAGATATTAATTCACCCCAGAAGCAGATGTAGCATGTTTAATAATATACCTGAGACTTTATATGGATTTAATAGAGAAGTTTCCTATATAAAAGTTTCCTGTTGTATATAATAGATTTGTGTATATATATATATATACACTACTGTTAGAGATTTTGAGGTCATTAATTTTTTAAAAGAAATAATACTTCTATTCATCAAAGGTGCATTACATTGATAAAGTGACAGTAAAGACATTTATAATGTAACAAAAAAAATTAAAATAAAATCTTTTGAACCTCCTATTCATCAGAGTAAACAAAATTATGGTTTCCACAAAAAATGAAACTGCACAATGGTTTTTAACATTGATTATAGAAACAATAAAAATAAAAGAAATATATATTTTTTTGTTATTATTATTATTATTATTATTTCTAAAGGATCATGCAGCACTGAAGACTAGTAATGGCTGCTGAAAATTCATTTTCAGTTGCAAAAATCTTTATTGCTCAATCACTCAACTTTTTTTCAGAGATCTCAATGCAGCATTTTGTCAAATTGTTTAAATTAAAATTTTTTTTAATATTAATATATACATAATATTATATAATATAACGCGATTCATTGATAGTATTGTTTACTGAATTTGGTGTAAATTCCAGTGTTGCAGTTTGATGCTTAATCTTAATTGGCTTAATCTTAATTACTCACTTGTTTTGAGTAACTATAATCTGTTTGTTTGTATTATCGGTTTGTTTTGCCAGTCCACTGAACACTCCGCTGCAGTGTATCGAGTTAGCGAACTGCAGTCTTAATGCAGTAGACATGGCCTACTTCGCCAACAGCCTGCACAGTGAGCACATAGTAAAGCTGGACCTGAGTGGTCATGAGGTAGCTGACCTGTTCCCCAACACCTTCCGGAAGCTTCTGCATCGCTGTTGTGCTACACTCACTAGTGTGGGTCTGGAGGAGTGTGGACTGGATGATGACAAACTGGATCTGCTCACCCTAGCACTGACACCCTGTCACAGGCTACAGGAATTGAAGATCCTGGGTAATCCACTGAGCACAGCTGCTCTGCACCATCTTTTTAATATGCTGGCTCTGGGTTTTCCTGCATTGAGGTAAAGTAAAACCGTGTTCATTGTTGTTAATGGTTTGGTTGTTTTTCTTGTAATTTGATTGTATTATGTATTGTCTCACAGATATGTTGAGCTGCCCGTCCCTCGTGACTGTTATCCTGAAGGTGTAACCTACCCACTGGATGAAAGCACGCTGATCAATTACGACAGGGAGAAGTTCCAGCAAGCCAAAACTGAACTTATTGGCATCCTAGAGAGGGAGGGAAAAGGACATATAAAAGTCTGCACACCTTTACTTGGAGCCTATGATCCTGACATCAACGAGACGAGCAATGAGCTGGGAGTCTCCATGCTGCACTCCTTCAACAGTGTCATAGGCAACTTCATTGACATGGTCAACAGTGTTACCCAACGGAGAGAGCAACAAATGATGGAGTAAGACATTCAAACTCAATGAGAAATTGTTTCAGCATTAACACAAATAAA